AATTAAAAGTTGACAACACTTATTGTTACTTTCAGTTGTTGCTGTTACTTCCCCCTCCCTCCTCCCTCCTCCTCCCTCCCTGTCATCATTCAGTACCTCTCAACAAGAAAAAAAAAACCAATTTTATAGGTTTATCGTTAATTCAGTTGGAACCGCTTTTGATTGTTGTTGAATAATTGTATAAAGAATATACCATTCACTTGTTGACCCAATTGTAATCAGTAATCTTTAGTAGCAAATTCTTCAATATTGATACACTAAAAATGATTCTAAAAAAAGATCAAACAAAAAGAATAAATTTCAAAAATAAAACTTCAGTTTCAATGTCGTATTCTGTTTTTTTTTTTTTTTGGATGAGATAAAACATCTTAATTGACGTTTCCAAACAAAAAAAAAAACTCTGAACAAAACAAAGCAGAAAAAAAAAAATGACGTGTAGTTAACAATGGTTAAATATGTGTTATTCATTCTTCCCTTTTTCATTCACAAATTTTCCGTCAGTGTTGTTGAAAATTCAGTGAAACTTTGTTGTTCGTTTTGTTTTTACCTAATTTTTATCTATTTTTATACAGAACTAATGTTTCAACCATTAACTATGTTACATTAATTTATTGAATATTGTTCTTTCAGAAATTGATGAAGTGTAATTTTTGTTGAATAAAAACTTTGATCATTCTGTTATATTACTTTTTTTTTTTGGTTATATAACAAACGTTAACCACAGTTTTCTAGCTATTTGTTTGCTCGATGGTATATTTGTGTGTGTGTCTGTGTGTACCAATAAGCTTTATAATTGTTGTAATATTGATCTTAGATCTCTAAAAAAAAAAAACAGCAGGTTAATCTTAGGTGGATAAAGTTGTTCGGTAATCAACGATACAATTATTATTGCTGCTGTTACAGCATCAAACAACAACAGTCCAAAAGCTTTATACAAGTGATATTTTGTCTCAAAATACATAGGCATAGATATAATACAAATAAAAAAAGCCTACTAAATTTGATTTCCAAGAAAAATTGTTTTTTGTTTTTGTTGCTGTTAAATTGTAATTGTCACTTTTACCAGTCAAACACTGTTGACTTTAGTACTTTGTTGCCAAAAAAAAAAAAGAAACCAAAAAAAGTAACGAGATAATAGATTTGTAAAATATAGAATATCTAAAAGATAACAGTTTCCAACAATAATGGCGGTAACAACGTTGTCTTTCAACGGCATATAAATTTCCTATTGTCAAAATCAAATTGTTTTTTTTTTCCTCTAAACTTTTCTCTTTTCTTTCTCCTAAAAAAAGCAGCTTTCAGTATCAGAAGAAAGAAGAAGAAAAATTATGACAAATTATTCCAAACTTTTATCAACTTTTTCTTTTTTTTTTTTAATAAATAAAATTAAGTTTCTAAATGTTACTGAACAGTGTGCTGTCACTGATTTCCAATTAAGGTATTGCAACTGCAAAAAGAAGAATAAAAAATTGAACCAAACAGCAGTTACCAATCTAAGATGTGGGTTTTTTTTTTTTTCTGTTTGTTTTTACTTCATTTGTTCTGATAAAAATTCTAAATGAAATAAAACTTTTCCCATAGTCTTTTTTTTTTTTGTTTAGTCAAAAAACATCTGTTTGGTTAGCAACAGAATCCGTAAGCAGTTGTTGTTGCAAACAGTTTCTTCGCCATTCTTCCTGTAACAGTCGTTTTTTTTTGCTTTTTAGATAGCAGAAATAAAAGCAAAAAGAAAAAAAAAAAGAAGAAGACCCCCTTCTGTTTTTTATTGCTATTGTACCTGGTGAAATTTTCAATTTGCAAATTTATTTTCATTTTTAACGTATAAACGGTACAAATATACAGAAAAAAAAATTGGGGTAAAAGGGGGGAAGGGGGGGGGGGAAAGAGGGGGGAAGGGAGGCGAAGGAAAAGAAAGGCATTTCTTCTTTTTTAAAAGATTGAAAGATAAAAAAAAA